TAGAACATTCTATTTAGCCATCTTCCACATAAACTGGCATTTCTTCCATCCACACTAACCCAATTGTTTTCCAAAGGCGTCTCTCATTGTATGCTTATCAAACCAAGACCAGAAGTTAACGCAACAAAGTAGCACAGATGCTTGACACCATGAAAAATCTAACTAACACTTCTAGCTATTGTTACTTCTCTAATCAGTTTTATCACAATGTAAAGTTGATTGTAAAATCAGTTTGCTGGACAATGCAAAGATCAGGAAAATTGAAGACAATCATTCGTAACATTCTTATTTCCCGTGAAACTTCGTGCTCCTTCAATGTTTGGTTTTTATAGATAAAGCCTTAGCCATTATTCAGGCTGAAGAACTCATGGATACCAGTAAAGTGTGGATGCCGAAGAAGCGACACTTCCGTGAAACAGAAGAATGGCGCGTGAAGAAATCTCGTGTACTCAGCAAGATGAGAGCTCTAACACGAATGAATCTACTTCTGGTACTGTCAAAGATGTCGGTAAGTGAAGCTTTGCAGTTGGGTAATTTTTGTTGAGTTCTGCAGGAAGCACAGTGCAGTGCAGGGAGAAGGTGGTCTAAAAGACTAAACGGGCCCACTTAAGCTAAATTGCCCAAAGGGTCACATCTTTGAGATGTTTGAAAACTGGGCCACATTGAAGGACGAGAAATAGAACTTGCAGTGCGAGCTGAGGTGTGTTGAGGGGGTAGGCGTAACGTAGGCAAATACGTAACTAAATTCTTCCTATGGTGCAGAGGTTGGATAAATGACGCCAGAGTTTCCTGTGCTCCATTACAGCCAGCAGTAAAACGAAGCACATCCACGTTCGCGGAGTTTAAAAATCTGTAAACAGATTGTTCCGCTTGCGCACGGCATTTACATCCTCAAAAACCTTTTAGAATTCAAGTGGTTCGTTCTTCACCAGAACCATAGCTTAACTCCTTAGGGTTCCTTTCCACTCAAATTTCTCCAAACATTCTGTTACTGCATTATGACATGGGTGAGTTGATTTTCACGGCCAATGTGAATTTCATCATATGCACATTTCTTTATCACTGCAACGAAGCGGTGCTGCATGCACCTTTAACGTTCATATGTAAGCCTTCAGAGCATAGAATTGCTAAATGGAAAAGTCAACATTCTTTGTGAAAAAAAAAACTACTGAAGATTTTCTAAATCAATCTACATGAATTGACAGCTTTCCAAAAAGTGTTTATGTTCA